TTTGATATGTATGATGATGGTGTTGTCTTATTTCAGTTATATACATTGTGATGATATTACAAGATGAAGTCACGCATAAGCCCCCAGACATTTCCGCCGTCTAGTTCGGGGGTGTGACAATTATATTAAAGTATTATGTAGAAATTTTTTAAAATAGAAAAAACCATAAAATAACATGTGGAAAATAAATTAATTCAAAATACTTAACCATAAAATGACATTTAGCAAATTGAATTATAATGTGACATGTGGCGAAAAAAAAATCTTCATTTATTAGGGTAGATACAATGCATGAATACATTGCATCCTTTATGCACGGGCGTAGCAGTACAAGCAAGGTGGGTCTTATAACCCACCTAAATATTTTATTTTATATACTAGTAGTATTTGTATAGAAAAAAATTAGGAACTACCTTGAAAAAAAAATTAGGACCTACATAATACTATTTGACAATATAAGAAAGCAAATAAATAAATAAAAAATAATGGAGGACTTGTACTTAAATTTCAAAGCAAATGGTTAATACTTTCAAAAAAAACTATCACACATCGGAGATAAAGAGAGAGTTAAAGTTATTTTATGTTATAAAAATTATGAATGGTTATTAGGAAATTTAAAAAACAACTCGACTTCTTTCATATTGTTGGTTGTACAAAATGGTTGTTGCAGATAAACTCTTTAAATAAATAAATAAATAAATAAGAAGAAGAAGAAGAAGAAGAAGGAGAGAGGGAGAGGGGGGGGGGGGACTCGATCATGCAACGTTTTTTTTTTTTGCAAAAGTCAGGTTTTATTGTCAAATAGACCAATTTTACTAGTTTTTAGTTGTTCTATTGGTCCGGTTGAACTCCAGTTTGTCGTTTTTTTATTGTTTCGATCCGATCCGATCTGTCACATATAGCATTGACACTTTGGTTTTTCCATCTTCACTTAATTAGGAACAACATGTTATTCTATTCTAGATTCGCCACTGCCTTTATGTTCTTGAGTTGATGACAACTTATTGACCTCATACAATTGTCCAACGAGATTGAAGGACACCAACGGTTCTCTTAACATCCTTTCTTTCATCCCCTTGAATTTTTTTGAACTTAGTCCTCTTTGGGTCAATTAGATGTGGAAAACGTTTAACTATCATAGCATTCAGGATATAAACCCTCGGAAAGATAATATCATCTATTGTATATATTCATCGTAAATATGTATTTTGCATTATGCCCTTGTAATATGTCATTGGATAATTACATTGGTGTTATTGTAAGACCACGCTACAACCAAAATATGCATGGAAAGCTTACATACACAACTTCTTCATCTCCAAAACATCCATACCAGTACCTAGGGATGTGCGTTTGGACCGAATACCCGGACCGAAACCGAAACCCGGACCGGACCGACCCGAATTATTTATTTGGGTCAGTTCTCGGTTTTTTTTTTTGCCCAATTCGGGTTTCGGGTTATTCGGTCCGAGTTACCCAAATAAAGATTTAATCGGTCCAAAAAGACCGACCTTGAAAATGAATGGTCACCTAATCAATTTGGTCGTGCGTATTGCGTATCAACTCATGTCGGTCGTTGTCACACCCCAAAACCAAGAACGGCGGAAACGTTCTGGGGCGGAGGACGTCATGTAAGTATCACAACACAGTAAATGTAAATAAGCAAACAACATCATCCATTGCATTAAATATATAATTTTAATACAAGTGTGTTCTGTACATTGTAGACACCAAAAATAACGTATATCAAAATAATAAGATGAGTCTTGAATGCGCTCCATCTTCTCAAAAGTTGGCCTCGGTACCTGTCTACTGACGACCTGAGAATACAAGTTATTTTGAAAGAGTTTATCAGCATTAAGCTGGTGAGTTCATAAGTATTTTAGTGTCTGTATTTGTCATTCAAAAATGTTTGAACATGTATCAAGTATAAGTTTGTAAAATGTATGTAAAAGTTTGCAATTGTTTGTAAAAGTTTGAATCTCTCCGAAAAACCTATATTTTCTATTAAAGAAGCCTTCTACCAAGGCTTAACTGTTTTGGTATGTTCGTTTGATGTAAAAGTGTGTAATTTCCCAAATGTAACTATCATTTAACAAAATATAGTTTGTACATAAACGTTTAAGTGAGGTTATCACTAAAAATATGTAATGGGTAAATTAATGTAGTACTGTAGCCTTGTATTATAAGAACTACTGCGGTACTAACTACCTTAAACCGGATTTATATTAAGGCATTACGTGATAAATTGCACCATACTATCGACTAGTAACACGACAAATGAATGGTCGTAATAACGGAATGACGTTTGGCACCCGCAGACCTGCAGGTCCGGCTGTAGCTAGCAGCAAGGTGTAGGATTGTCAATCCAGTATAGATCTATACGCAAACTCACGCTCTCCCTTCAAGAGAATTCTGGCTACAACTCGAGCCATGACAGTTAAGTCATGCTCCAATTTAAATCACAATAATAAAGTATTCATGTATACGTACTGTTTCTTGTTCTAGTAGATGTATATGTATTGTTTCTAGCATCATTGTATATGTATTGTTTCTAGCATCATTGTATATGTATTGTTTCTAACATCATTGTATATGTATTGTTTCTAGCATATGTATATGTATTGTTTCTAGCATCATTGTATATGTATTGTTTCTAGTATATGTATATGTATATGTATTGTTTCTAGCATCATTGTATATGTATTGTTTCTAGTATATGTATATGTATATGTATTGTTTCTAGCATCATTGTATATGTATTGTTTCTAGCATCATTGTATATGTATTGTGTTACCCCGATGGTAACTAACTATTGATGTACTGATAAATATGAATATGGAAGTACTTTTATGTCTATACATGTATATATGATATATAACTAATGTTGAAACGACCTTCGGATGGTCACCTGAAGTCCCACCAGACCACATCTCAGTGCGCGAAAAGGAAATAGGGCGGATGGCCTTCCTAAGCCTTTTAAGCATTACATATATATATATATATATATATATATATATATATATATATATATATATATATATATACATATATGGGCATGCAATTTATAAGAAGTAAAACAAAGTTTAATAAAAGTATTTGATAAGTAGAAAGAGTTTGTAAAACATTTGAAGTGAAACAGTTTGATAAAACAGTTTGAACAGTAGTAAAAATCGTTGTTTTCCTAGTTATTAATCACATGTGATTAAATGCAATCACATGTGATTGAAGCAATAACTATAAGTATTTGACTTGTATTCCCCCCCCCCCCCCATAAAGTATTTAAAACATTTAAAATCATTTCAAAGGTTGATTCAAGGGGTATGAACTCACTTGTGGTGAGTCGTTTGAATTGAGGTATCGGGTACCGTGCTAAGTGTCAAACGGAGACTTGTTCACACGTTCGAGCCTAGTTATCATATAATAAGCATATATATAACTAATTAGCCACATAATAACTTAAGAAAGTAAGTTAATACAATTAGGAACATGTAAACACTCTTATGAGTGTTTAAGGTTCAAATAGTTGCATCTAAGTTGCTACGGGACAAGGCAAAAGGGTTTGAAACATCAAATGGCCTTGCATAGGAGTTCACCACCCAACAAACCCCACACCTTGGAGTTTACGGCCATAAACTCATGGGTTTATGGCCGTGAACTCCTCAAAGGTTGGTTTTGGGTGTTTTGTGGTTCTATCTTGGTCCTAGAACACTCCTAGCTTTGTTGGAATAACATATGAAGTAGTTTAAGGCTCTAGAATACTCCATGGTGGAGTTTTCGGCCCAAAGTCCTCTCACCCTAGAGTTTACGGCCGTAAACTCCTATGGGGTGATGGCTTTTAATTGTTTTGAGGCTCTTAAACATCAAGGATGGCTTCCATGAATTTATCTAAGGCTAATGGGGACAAGAGGCACACTTTTGGGGCATCACTTGGAGTTTACGGCCCAAGATATGTTCATTGGCCGTAAACTCCTTTCAAGGAGTGGTTTTGATGTGTTCTACTCTCCATTCTAGTCCCAAGTATGCAAGGTAAATTGTCTTAAGGCCTTAGGTGTGCTTGGAATGATTTTTACTTAAGAAAGAGGGGTTTACGGCCCAAGATCCTTTCCTTGGCCGTAAACTCCTAAAACTCTATCATTTTGAAGTGTTTTCAAGTCCAAAACAAGAACAAGTACTAGTGGTTAAAGTCTTAGGCTCAAGGAGGCAAGTTAGGGCATGTTTGCCCATTTGAAAGGGGTTTACGGCCTAAGAGTTCTTTGGCCGTAAACTCCTCTAACTTGTTGATTTTGGACATATAAATGATGTTATAAAGCATATAGCAAGTATTAAAACATGTTTAGGAAAGTAGACTCACAATCCGGGGTGAAAACCCGAAGATCCGTCAGAGAGAATTGGCTTTTCTCTAGTTGGAATTGTAAATAATGAATTAATTTAGTTCAGAAAACTATTTATAGTCCTGGAATATTTTGACAGAAAATATTTTTATTCCGGAAGTCGGACTATCACATTGTGAAACTTACAATGTTCAAGTTTCACGATTACAGGAGCATCCATTCTCCGGATACGTCCAGAAACGTAAACCCTAATGTACACAAACTTGTTCGGACAAGTCTGAAATTTATAGAATTTGGACTAGCTCCTATTGAATAGATAGTGTTCGTACAAATGGAAATTTCGGGTTGTCACAGTCGTGCAAAATAGGATACCATATGCCGTATCCCACTATCATCGAAGTTTCAAAAAAAAAAAAACTCCAGTTTGCCCTAGTCGATCAATCGATCATCATTCCAAGTTTCCACTTTGTCGATTAAGCAATTGAGTTCCATCGACTCATCAAGCAGCTTTGCAACACACGCAAAAAAAATCATCCACACCCACGATCGTTTACTATGATCGATCACCAAAAAAAAAAAGCAAGTCAAGCAATCAAGAAATCGACCTACACTCTACTATCAAGAAATCGAATTTCAATCTTCATCTCCAAGGAATCATTCTAAATCATGGACAATTGGTTTCCAAGTCAACAAACTCAAGTAAGCATCAGTATCTTAATCTATTGTTATTCTTTTAACTGTTATGATGTTATTCTTTCAAAGTGTTATCATTGCTATTATATCATATTAAATAAAATCTGCTATGTTAAAACTGTTAATCTATTTCAATTCAATGTATTATGTGATTGTAAATCGTTGTGTTATTGTAATTTAGATTAATGAATGTATTTCAATACTAAAGAACATATTTTCCTATGTTATGATATTAGAATCATTTTGTTATTGTGTTTTAGATTGATGATGAAAATGTTTTGGTTGATAACACTCAAATTGACAACAAAGATGGAAAAGGTCAAACAACAAATAAGAAGAAGAAATATGCCAAAAGAGCGGCTTGTTGGGCCGATTATGATGAACTTGAGGTTAACAACGTTCAACATAGCAAATGCAAATGGTGTGACACGTTGCTCAAAACCGAGTCCGGCGAAAACGGTACATCTAGTATGATTAGACATACAAAAAGATGTACACAAAACCCAAAAAATTTAGAAGCAAATTTAAAAAAGCAAAGCACTTTAAATTTCAAAAAAAAATGAAAATGGGGAGAATGGTATTGGCACTTGGAAGCATGAAGAGAAAAGAATAAAAAAAGCTTTGTTAAACTTATTTGTAGTTGGATAATTACTCTTCAAGTTTGTAGAGAATGAAGCATTTATTGAGTATACTAATGCATTGAACGGGAAAGTGGTTTTGCCTTCTAGAACCACAGTTTCAAAAAGAGTTGCCAATTACTATGTTGAAGAAAAGGAAAAGTTGAATAAGTTCTTTAGTAATCCCCTAATGAATGTGCATTTGACCACCGATTGTTGGACAAGTTCATGTCAACGATCGAGCTTTATGGTGGTCACGGCCCACTTTATTGATAAAGATTGGATCATGCATAAAAGAGTTATCAACTTTAAATCTTTAGATAGTCATAGGGGAGAAGACATTGGGCACACGTTGTTGACTTGTCTAGAAGAGTGGGGTATCAATAATGTAATGACCATAATTGTAGACAATGCTACTTCCAATGACAAAGCAATTGAATTTCTAATGAAAAAACTACCAAACTTATACGATGGGGGGGAAACAATTACACGTAAGGTGTATGGCCCACATCCTAAACCTTATTGTTAAGGATGGGTTTGATGAACACCAATCTAGTATTAAGTGCATGCAAAAGGCCTTTAGATATATTAGGAATTCCACTCAACGGATTCAAAGGTTCAAAGAATTCATGAAAGAGTTAAATGTGGAATCCAAGAAGTTTTTGTGCAATGATTCCCCAACCCGATGGAACTCCACATACGAGTTATTGAAGATTGCGGTGTAGTTGGATAAGGTTTTTGGAAAGTTTGAAGTTAAAGGTAATTCCATATTTCATTTCATTGTTTTTTGTTTTTTTTAAAGATCATCATGTTTGTAGATTTTTATGTCCACTTTGAACTATCATATCTTCTTCATTATCTGTCCAATTTGCTTGATTTTTTTTCCAGCATGTAGATCACAATTCAACATTCAGTTTACATTATTTTTATGCTATTTTTGGTTGAATATTCAATGAGATATAGGCACTTAAACATGGGGTATTGAAGCTGTTTTTTGTGATTCAGCATGTATGCAGATTTTTATGTCCACTTTAAACTACCATATCTTCTTCATTCTCTGTCCAATTTGTTTGATTTTTTTCCAGCATGTAGATCACAATTTAACATTGAGTTTACACTATTTTTATGCTATTTTTGGTTGAATATTCAATGAGATATAGGCTCTTAAACATGGGGTATCGAAGCTGTTTTTTGTGATTCAGCATGTATGCAGATTTTGATGTCCACTTTGAACTGCCATATCTTCTTCATTATCTGTCTAATTTGCTTGATTTTTTTTCCAGCCTGTAGATCACAATTTAACATTGAGTATACACTATTTTTATGCTACTTTTGGTTGTATATTCAATGAGATATAGGCTCTTAAACATGGTGTATCGAAGCTGTTTTTTGTGATTCAGCATGTTCGCAGATTTTTATGTCCACTTTGAACTGCTATATCTTCTTCATTATCTGTCCAATTTGCTTGATTTTTTTCAGCATGTAGATCACTATTTAACATTGAGTTTACACTATTTTTATGCTATTTTTGGTTGTATATTCAATGAGATATAGGCCCTTAAACTTGGGGTATTGAAGCTATGTTTTTTTAACTAACACTTATTTTATTTTAATAGATCCTACATATGTTTGAGATGTTGTGTCCCCCGTAGAAGAAGATTTCAAAATTTGTAGAGCTATGGTTGGATTTCTCGAGAAACTCAAGGTAAAAACCGACATAATATCGACGTCAGCAAAACCTATGACACATCTTTTTTTTTTTTTGCAGAAATATGTGTTGTGTACAAGCACATGAGAGATTGGGTGTCAACTCCCCAATTTTGCTTGAACAGGAAGGATATGATTGAGAAATATGAAAAGTATTGGGGCGACCTTGAAAAATTAAATAACTTTTTGTACTTTGCGATCGTATTAGATCCACGGTTGAAGTTTGAGTTTCTTCAACAAGCCTTTGAGAAGTTGATTAAGTTGAAGAATACCGAAGAACCTCCCATATTCAACGCGGGAGTCACTTTGAAGGCTAAGGCCTTAATACGGGAAATTGAAAACAAAAATTTGAGAAATTTTTTAATTTCTACAAAGCAAAGTTCGACAATACCGAGTCTTCTCAAAGTCAAACACGTGCTCATGAAGATGTAGTTATGCTTGATGACGAGAATGACTTCATGGGTGATTTAATAGTACAAGCGGATTACCCATCGGCATCTATAGAAACAGAGCTGACACGATACCTAAACGAGCGGTCACTTAAATACAATAAAGATTTTGACATTCTACTTTGGTAGAAACAAAATGCATCTCTTTACCCTATTCTAGCTCGTATGGCGAAAGGTATAGCTTTATGTATTTGTATACTTTTTTTATAATTATATTTTAACACTTTCTTTGTTTATGTTGATAGATATTTTGGGACTACAAATTTCTACTATGGCGTTCGAGACGGCTTTTAGTAAAAGTGGGCGGATATTAGATCCATATCGAACAAATATGCCCGCTAATATATTAGAGGCCTTGGTTTGCACCCAAGATTGGGTAAGGAAATCAGGGAAGCCAATTGTGGACAACATTGATGAAGTTTTGAAAGATGATGACATCACGAAAGAGTTGGAAAACGCGATAAACAATGGAGGTGGAAAGGGAAAACAACCAATCAATATTCCTGAATAATTAATTTGTATTTGGTTATTGTTATTTTGAGAAAAACTTAATATTCATATTTTAATTTGGGTGTTTAATGTTTAATCATGAATTATGGATTTTTGGACTATGAATTATGGATTTTTGGACTATAAATCATGAATTTTTGGAATATGATTATCAATGTTTAATATTTATTTTCTTGAACTAGAAATAGATTTTTTTTTATTTGGGTTATTCGGGTTATTTGGTTTATTCCGGTTAATTTGAGTTATTCGGGTCAAAAATATAGTGTACATATTTATTTGGGTTATTTCGGTCCTTTGGGGTTAATAACCGAACTGAAACCCGTATTACCCGATCGAGACCGGTCCCGTATTAGTATAATCGGTCCCGGTTTTTGTTCCCATTTTTCATCCAATTCGGGTTTCGAGTTGTTCGGGTTCGGGTCGGTTCCAACCCGAAGCACATCCCTACCGGTACCTATAGCAAAATAGCTATAGATTTTGTTTTTGTAGAAACTTTATGTAGCTATCCATAAATTTTATTTTAGTGGCGCTACAGGTTATGTGTTCACTATTAGGTTATATAACTAGTTGGATGCCCACACTTCACAAGAATGTTTGCTCCTGTAACCAAGAAATAAGCATACATAGCCATTGCAAAATTTGAGAAGTAGGTTATCATAGGTGAAATTGAAACATGAAGATTTTATATTTTGTTGTAACAATTAAAATGCAATCCAGATGACTAAACACAACATCCTACTGATTTATGTGCTCTATATATAGAGTCAATGACAGACACATACCGATTCGATAGTGGTGGCACCTAAAAGAATTCGAATAAATGTAAAATAGTAGTGGCACTAGTATTAAAAGGGGTTGCACTAGGATAAAAAAATTTACACTTATGAACCAAATCGGATTGGTGGCCCAGGCCCCACCAAACTCCAGATACATCCGTCCTTGTATAGAGTCTCAATGTAATTGTAAACTCCAGCCTAATATCAATAATAAATTTTTTTAGTTCGCTCGAAGTAGCACAATATATGATACCAAGTCTGTGAACCATGTAAATATTTTTTCTTCTTTATTTTTCTACATTTTCCTTAATATATTGTATGTATGTCATTTGAATAATTAAGAATTCTATATGGTGGAGTATAAACTAAACCGAAAGTTCCCCGTTTACTAAAAGGATGTATTCACTAGGCACTAGCTATAACTTGTTCACATGCTTCGATTCGATGGCATTACGTAAAATTAGGTGTGGACGTGTGGTACTGTTTTACTCTTAACGCTATACTAATGGCCACTAGCCCGGTGATGGTTTTTCCACTAAAAAAACAAATATTCAATAATTATCACATGTTTTAATGAAATCACAATATATATATATATATATATATATATATATATATATATATATATATATATATATATATATATATATATATATATGATCAAATAAGAACACTTAAAAAATTGAGAATGTGAAAACATTTGTGTATCAATCATTTTATAAGGGTAAATTAGATTTTTTTTTAAATTAAATTTTAACATATTAATATTAAATTATGATTTCCTTAAATCTAGCGATAATTAAAGTAACTACCTAAAAAGTGAATTAATCATTTTTTTTCTTTTTTAGTTAATAAAAATATTTTTTATCATATTTCTTTTTTTAAAATGAGACATTTGAATATTCATTCTTTTTTTAACTAACTATTTAAAAAAAACAATATTTTTTTCATTTGATTTATACAAAATCTCATTTAGAAGTGAACAGTAAACAATATAAATTTACCATTTTATTGAATTAGTTTTCTTTAATCATATTTTTTAAAGTTATATTTAAGCATGAATAAATATATATATTGCTGTTTATGAATACAATTATAATCATAAATTAATAAAACAAAATATGAAAATCAAAAATCAAATACAATTGTAACTATAAAAGATTAAAACACTTCAATTATATTCGGAAAACAACAAACAATGTGGTGAATAAAGTACTAATGCTATATTCATAAATGATGAAACACTTAATAAATGATTATATATATATATATATATATATATATATATATATATATATATATATATATATTTAAAACAGTTATCTTCACAAATGATAAACACACTCCAGAAAAAAAAAAAAATCGCAACAAGAAATATAAAAATAGAGATCCCAAGTTCCCATCTAACACATGAAAATTCATCACGTTCATTTGCACTTCGTTCTTACTGTTACATAGTGAATAAGCCAAAAAAACAACAAATTAATACTCAGATGAAAATGATTATAATCAAATACAAATGCAAAATCACAAACCTAATGGTAGCGAATAAGATTATAAAGAAATCACTTTCCATACATTATTCCAAATTCTAATTCATGTTTTAATCATCTATAATTATATAACCCTATTCCCTATCATAGAACTAAATCTATGATTAGTAAAAGAGAAACAAACACCAACAGTAATTCAAAAACCAAATATTAATAATGATACTTCAAAAAAAAGAGATCAATTGTAGATAAAAGAAAAAAAATGAATAAAATGCATCAAAATAAAGTTAATACAAGAGAAGAGATGTTTGGTTTTTTATGGACATCTACTTATTGTTATAAACTGAGAACCAGTAGAAGCACCAAAAGGCAAACATGTTGATTCCTCTTTTTTTAATTCACAACACCCCAAACAAAATGCATCAATTCAAAATACACAGTCTATTAGCTTAGTAATCAATCCTACGATATTTTAAAAACATATGCTAACTAAAATCAATGATGCAAATTCAGATGGGCCTTCCAAAATTATAGAATTAAAAATGAAGAAAATAGGATGTGTGTATACCGACGACGGGAAGGACGGAAGAATAGGTCTGATAGTCGGCAAACCTTGAGTGTGGGAAGATTTTGACGAATGGAGAGTCACAAAAAACCCTAGTTCCTCAATTTTTTTCATATTATCGTTAGGGAGAAAGGAACAATCTATCACTGCGATTAAATGGGTTGGGGTGATACACACACCACGATGGTGCGATGGTCTGAATATGACTGCAACAAACGATGGTTAAGGGAGGAAGAGATCACGGTATGTAATCAGTGACTAGAGCATAATCGATGCACGACAAGAAAAGCTAATTAAACCATAAACCCTTGAGTTGGCGACTTGTGATGGTCTGATTAGGGTTGCGACACATGATGGTGATATGGAGGGAGGCTGTGAGAAGAATAAATTATGGAATGCAGACGATGAGCCGGATTATTAATCGAACCCTAGGTATAGAAAGAAAGAGAGAGAGAGAGAGAGAGAGAGAGAGAGGCAGAGAGGGAAAAGTAATTTGAACGACATTATGACAGAGATTGAGAAATTATAGGAACGAGTTAAAGTTGCAATTACCATTATAGCCTTATGACATTTTACAACTTACACTTTAATACCAGTTGTTTCAACATTTTACACAAATGACCCGTTTGATAATAGCCTCAGATCTGAATATTTAGATGGTCCAGATCTGTTCTCACGTTCTCAACCTTTTAGGTATTCTCTTTTGATCCTACTCATATATATATATATATATATATATATATATATATATATATATTATATATATATATATATATATATATATATATATATATATATATATACTAGATGTGTGTCCGCGCAAAGCAACAGCGATAAATAGTTTTTTGGCGAATAGTTTTCTTATGAGAAAATAATTATTAGATTTTGTTATTAGTTATTATGTAATAAGAAAAATTACTACTTTTAATTAAAATATTTATGTTAGAACTTATATCTATATTGTATATTTATACATTTCATATAAATTAATTATTACCTTCGTTTAATTTAAGAATTGTAAATTATATTGATGAATTTAATATTTTAAAATTATTATTTTGCTTCAAATTAATTTTTTATTAACCTTCGTTAATTCAAGTCTTCAAAATTTTGGTAAGCATCAATGGTTTTGTTATGCATAATTTATTTGTACAAAACGGTTTTGTATTTTGTACATCTTAAAATTCTAGATATGACTAATATGTTATATATATATATATATATATATATATATATATATATATATATATATATATATATATATATATATATATATATATATAATATATATATATATATATATATATTAAATTGATCTGCAATATGCCTTGTTTAAAGCTCTCTAGCTAATCCTAATGTTTAATTTGCTTAAGTGTCTTAAATTGTTGATCCGGCATTGGAGCTCGAGAAAAATAATATAATGTTACATAAACTTGTTAGCCACGTTAAAAGGTAGCTCGTCAATGGTGAAAACTAAGAGGTTGAAGATATAAATATTAACCACCATATATCGTTCCTCCTTTAATCCAGGCGTTTTCCAACAGGGAAATAATTTGATCCTTGCACATGAGGTACAACGCCAACACCATATGCATCCACCCTTTTTCTAACTCCATCCCTATGCCCTCTATAGGCTATATAAATTCGACAGTGTAATACATCAAACTCACCAAGACATGAAGATCTCTCTACTAATCTCTTCTCTCATCTTTGTGGTTCTAATTCTTTCATTTTCTGATTCGTGGGCAGCTTCATCCTATGTTCTTGATGAAACACCACGTTCTGAAGATTTCATACGTTGCATACAATCCAACTCCAACAATGTAACCTCCATATCTAAACTCATTTTCACCCCTATGAATGCTTCTTTCCTACCCATCTGGCAAGTCGCAGTCCAAAACCTTAGGTTCCTTAAGCCGTCTACTCATAAACCTTCAATCATCGTGACACCTATGGAAGAAACACAGATCCATACGACTTTATACTGCGCCAAGAAACATGGCTACGAGATCAGAATAAGGAGCGGGGGCCATGATGGCGAGGGCCTCTCCTACACTGCTGATGTTCCATTTGTTATGATTGATCTCACCAACATGAGGTCTATAAAAGTGGATGTAGCAAAGAGGACTGCATGGGTCCAGGGAGGTGCTACGCTGGGTGAACTCTATTACACCATTACTC